GGCCGCATCTGGGCATATTTAAATGAAATCAAGTGTGTAAAATCTTGCATTCTTCTCTGCACTGTATGCATAAAACATACATACAGTAACTGTGTTTTGAGCTGACAACGTTTGCATTTCTGTATCCTGAAGCTCACTGCGTCATAATTCCACCTTGCAGTCATTGCAGTTTGTCAGTGTCTTCACCCCCACACTGTGCCCAGGCTGTTGTGTGCATTCTTATTGCGACATACTTTTTGAAGAAAAAAAAAACTTTAAATCATAAGAATAAATTATATAAAATCCATTTTACTTTAGGATTTGCAAACCCGTTTAAAAATGATTTTTACACATACTATGGAAAAAGTCTGAAAGTGAAAGTGAAATTAGAATGCGTTTCCACATTTAAACCATTATATTAATAATGACAACGCGTTAAAACATATCATTCGAAGTGTTTGGGTGTGTTTGGAAGTAAAACTGGCCTTTTTTCTTTATAAAATGAATAAATAAACAAAAACAATCGAGTGAGATCAACATGTGCAGCCTACATTCACTTTCACCTAGTTACCTAACAACCTCATTTAAAGACTCCCACGCCCAATTCAACAGATAAACATTTAAAACACTTTAAATCCATACCTCCTCGCTCTTTAAAAGCAATGCTGTAAACGTTATCATTTATTTTTGTTACTGAGCTGCAGTCTCCTCCACCAGATTTGAGACCAATACGAAAATAGTTTTCAATTCTTTTTTTTAGCTCCTCATCCAAACCCGGACTCTCGAAGAATATAGGATACCGGTAAGAATCGCCCATAGTGCGACAACTTCCTAAAATTAATAATCCAATCTAAATCTGATAAAGCGAAGCGCCGGTAGCAGCGACTTCACCGTGTTGTGTCAGCGCCTGTCTTCAAGGATCTGACTTCACACGTAAACTACAGAAAAGCTTCCTACTTCCTGGTAGCACGCGAGCTTATACATTTCCCACGGGAGTAAATGGGAATGTTTCCAAACACAAAAGTGAAAAAACATGATCATAAATATACATAAAATTTAAAAACTAACACTAAATATTCCAGAGAAAATATATTAAATAATGACTATAGCAAGCAAACCAGTGGGTTAGTGTATTTATTTCTCTTGACTTGTACTAAAACACTTCACTGATGTGATGCAGAATACAACCTCAAGAGATGTGTAATCCGGTTCATGCTAACTCTGAGAGACGAGACAGTCCAAGTAATTTCAAAACAGTGCTGATTTATTCAATGAACACTGGTAAGAATTAACATTACACGCTCAGGTATCTTGCACCTCCAACATGCACACAGGCAGATGAAGGAAGTTTAAAATGTGCACTTAACAGTAGTATAACTCATTTCCAAATTACTGACTTTAACCAAGTATATATCACAACATTTACAGCACAATAATACACATAACATTTGCAGTTAATGTCCGCAGTTGGTACCATACAACCGAATAACCATAACTTAATGTGGAAAACATTTCAATAAACAGGGTACCATAACTCATACAACTCAAGTATCAAGTTAGTAATTAATAGTTCATCCTGACTGTTTTTTTTTATTCTCTGGCCTACAACAAAGTTTCTTTACTGTTGGACATTCTCAGTACAATCCTATCCTGCCCTTTCAATAGACAGTTTTAGAGGAAAGACCTACGTCATACGTCTTTATAAACAGTTAGTTGTTGTCTGCAGATGTAGGAAGAGCGCCAGCGTTGCTAAGAAACCTGGTCTACTTCCTGTTCTGTGGTTTCCTGTCTCCTCTATTCTTTACGGTAAATGAAATGGTTAACACAAGTAAATCATAAAGCATATGATACTATTACAATGCATATGATACGAACATAAACATGTAGATATATTTGCTAATGCAGATTATAATGTCAATCCTAGAATTTCATGTTGATAAATGTTGATAATCTGAAGCCAAATCAATCAGACCTTACACCAACACACTATTCTCGTGCAGACAGTTTAGTCATCTCAGTATGTATCTGCTTTTTTACTTACTATATAGCACTGATAAAATTAAACCTCTCATTTTCAGGCCTACTGAACCACTTGTACCATCCTCTGTCCACGGCTACGGACATGTCACAGTTCTCAGTCTTTCCTTTTGAGGCCCAGTTGTCATAGCAAAGTGGGCGTCATTGACCCAGAACCACATTTCCAGAGCGCAGGTGTAGCGCAGTCCCATCCAGACGTAGTTACTGTTGGCCTTCTTGGCTCTGTCTTGGACACATATCTGCTCATCAGGGTTAGAAATGTAGACCGCAGGTCATGGTGGTGCTCTCTGCAGTAATTCAAGGCCTGCTCCCAGGTCTTGCTTTCATTGATCAAGATCACTTTATCTATCACAGAAGGAATGACGAACACACAATCACACAGGCTGCTTTGTTTAGTTACAGTAAATGTTGTGAACTCTGGGCTCTAATAAGGATTTTCAAAGGCAAATACTGATATACCAGAAATAAAGGTTAAAATCACTATTTGCATGTTGAAGTTTATTTTTAAAGTTGACCATTTTCATCTGGAAAAATTACAACTTTAGCAAACATTAATAAAATGTGAACACAGCTTTAATGTTGCAAAGACAAAACCGCACTGGTAAGGACACTGACAGCAAGTAGATATAAAACTCAGTGTTTCTGAATACATATACTCACCACTGAAAGTAATATAATGTAACATGCATACAGTAGGCTGTGTGCATAAATAAATGTGGTGGATTTTCAGACTGTTGCTAATAATATTCTTATGGTGCAATATAGATAAAACTTACCATCAGAGCATAAGCGGGGATTTTGGTCATCACAGTCGTCGTACTTCCATCCACCCGTTTCATCCAACATGGTCATAGCACAATTCAATAAAACAGTTTATATAGTAAATAACAGCTGTTGTATGATTTCAGTAGTGCTGTTGTAGAAGCAGTACACTTATCCACTTACCCATCAGAATGAGCAGAAACAGACTCCACTGCATCTTTACTCTGTTACAAGAAATGAGACATAGGCCATTTTTACAGCTTTTCTACATTTGAGTAAGCATACACTTATTGTCTGCAGAGGCTAAATAAACTGTTGTGCTGCCTACTCAGAGTTTGTGTAATAAGGAAATACTATGCAAGGAAAGGAACATAGGAAATTGTATGCAAATTATAATCAGACCAGATACAACAGATGTTCACATTCATAAATCCCATTGCACAGTGGTCTGGCTTGGACAGAATAACAGAAACATCTGTATAGTACCTGTATATGAAAGCCATAGGAGCTGGAAACCAAAAACATCAGTGCAGGAGAGAAATGGCTTGTAGAGTGGAAAACGATAGGCTGATAAAAGGAATAA